TGTTTGTTACTAAAAAAGTGATTGAAATTTCAAGAAGGTGATTGTAAAAAAAGTGACACACTAAAAAAAAGTGACAAATACTAAAAATGTGACAAAAATTAAAAAAAGTGACAAATTTTAAAAAAGTGGCGAATTTAAAAAAATAACACATTAAAAAAAGTTGCACACATTCAAAAAAAGTGACAAACACTTGAACTTTCCCCTTCAAAGGAAGACAAAATCGGCCACAAAGAAAGATAATACAATCGAAGTCCACAATCGAAGTATCATTTCTTTATCGTTTCATTAAAAAAAGTGACAAAAACTTAAAAAAGTAACAAATACTAAAAATGTTATAGAATACAGTTATATTCTTCTGCCCTCACTAAAATCTCAATGGTGTCAAAATTGACAAGACTACTGGCTTGTGCCTCCTCTTTGGATGACAATACATACCGTGGAGGCCACCACTAGCACCAAAGCCTCCACCTCCACCTCCACCTACTCTACCACCAGCACCAAAGCCTCCAGCTAAACTAGCTCTACCACCTATATCACCACCTACTCCACAACCACCTCCATCTGCACCTCCTCCCAATCCTCTACCTCCACCAGCACTAGCACCAGACAAAAATATATGGTAGAGTTAGACTCCCACCAGTAAATAACCTCCCAAAAAAACCAACTTTGGGTCTATGAAGTTAGCACCAAACTCATAGTGAGCAGTGGGAATTTTAATTGTTTCAGATGACTGAGAAGGAATTTCTGTAGGGCCCATCATCATCCTTTGTCTCAATGAAAATTTCTGATTAAGTCCTCTAGTAAAATCAAAATGCATCCCTTCAAAAAGTTCTGGCTTCAGGGACATGAGAGCTTTGCGGTGAATTTCCTCGTAGGGAATTGGGCAATGAAGGTTCATGTAATCGACTTTCTACAGTTCAGCCACGGCAACACTAGAACTTGCCACCGGTGGTGCTGCTACAGTAGTAGGCGAAGAGAAAAGTACAGCCATTTTCGGTCGAAATTTGACGGTATGGAAGAAAAATAAAAGAGTAAAAGAAGAAGAATAGTGGCTTTCTTATTCTTCTTGAGCATCTGTATGTTTCGGGGTTTTACTTGGGGGATTAGAGTTTAAATTAGGACGTAATTATTACTTGAT